GTCTTCGATCGTGCCCCCTATTGGGGGGTATATTCATTCCCTGTCACGTGTGGTTGGTGAAGCCCTTCCAAGCGAAGGGTAACAGATAACGGAATATAGTGAGGACGAAGGGATCGGAGGAAGGGAGGGGAGGGGCAAGAAGGAGGGAGGACGATGATTTGAGCTGTGAGCGGCGATTCAGCTTGCGCCATGGCTTGCGCCAGCCATTCCAACACAGGTTAACAATAAGTTTCGCCATGGGTCGCGCCATAACCAGCGCCACGTTCCACCCCCTTGAAAGAACATATCGTGGATACCCCGACGGGGGGACGTACAGTTGCTAACTGGTGTCAGAAACAAAAAATCGTAGAACCTTGAAAAGAAAAGCGGGATGTTGGGAGGGTGGGGCGGAAGGATAGTGATAACTGCAACCGTGTCGAGAGGAGCGCGGAAACCCCAAGTGAGAGCTCGATTCTTCAATAAATGGTGAAGAAGTATCAAGCGGGAACCGCGATCCGGTGGTAAATTGAATTCCCAAGCGAGGGCGCGATTCTTCAATAAATTGTAAGGAAGTATCCGGCCGGAGCCGTTGATGTTGTATACTAGGGGCCAACGGCACAGTTTGACTTTCACGATTTTTCCGGATGAAAAACAGGGTGCGAGCCCCAACACTTCAATCGAAAAACAATGTGCACCGGACGGGGGGGATCAACAATACTTATTCTTCAGAAATGAGACTTCAACAACAACAGCAACATCAACATCAGCAACAACAACATCAACAACACTAACACCACCACCACCAACAACAACAACAACAACATCAACAGCAACAACAACGACAACAACAGCAACACCAACACCAACAACACCACCAACAACACCAACAACAACGACATCACTAACACCACCACCACCATCAACGACACAATGAAGAGAGTCCTCACCACGGATTCTCGCTTCAGCCACGCACCCAGGGACAATGAATGACCGTTCGAGACTGATCATCATCACCTTCATCAGTGCCCCGTTCTAGGGGTTTTCTCTCGTCCAAGACGGCTTTGTGACGTGCTTTCGGTGATTTTGCCACCGGTCGAAGGTGGAACCGCAGGCGGGAACCCCCAATGAGAGGGCAAATTTGGTGGGAACTCATTTCCAGGTGACCTCCCCCGGACCTCCAGAGAGCCTGATGGAGTCCCCGAGGCTGTGTGTATGGGGGGCTGGATTTGTTGCCCCCCCAGGGGATGCAATTTGTTAACTTCCTTCCCCTGTTTCCCGGCCGCGTGGCCGATTCGATCGGCCGTGATGACATTGCCGCCCTGAGCACGTTCTCGCTCTCTTGTGCCCTGCGCGCGCGATGCGGGTCCGCTTCCATGTTGGCTCACAGCAGCCGTGCGCGCTTGCGCGCCACGGGTTTCTCTCCTTCAGTTCCCCCCCCCCCCCGCTCCGACACCGTTTCAGGGTGTCCCGCCTCCCCGGCTGTCGGTCCGTCCCGCGCGAGTCAAAGCGTTGCCGCATTTTGTCCTCGCCGCCGGCTCCGAGAGGACATGTTTGGCTTCTTTTCTTCGCCCAAGACGGCCACGATGCAAGCCAGCGCAAAAGCTGTTCTCAAACCCCTCAGGGGGTTCAATCGGGCGGCTGCCCAGCGTGTCCTGGGTGAAAGCCCTAGGTGCCCCTCCTGCTTTCCGATGAGCTTCACAAACAGGGCTGGGCGGTCGCCGGCAGCCGCCTCCCGAACCGATAGTTCAGCGCGCTTTCACCTGTAAGGGATATTCTGTGTAAGCATCGTCGTCTTCGTCATTGCTCGTCTGCACCCTCCTTCTGAAGGATCTCTCGCGCAACCCCGTTCTGGGCTCTTCCCCGCGTCCAAGAGGGCTTTGTGCGGTGCTTGTGATGTTCTTGTGCATCCTGGGGAAGGTACCCTCGGATGTTCTGTGTGTTTTGGCCGGCGGAGGGTTTCAGGTTCTTGAAGGATGTTCTTCTGTCCTAGTTCCGACTGTGTTCGAGCGGGAAGTCGCGAGTATTAGGTGGAACGGGGCCTTGGGGAGCACCAGGCAAGCACGAATACAAGGCAATACTAGCGGACATCCGGAGGCAATTGGTCGACCATGGTCCCCGCGCGCACAAGGATCCATGGGACATTCGAGCCGAACGGCTGAACGTGGCATTGACGGCCACCAGGGTGGGCAGGATATGTGCAACCACCACAGCGAAGACCAGGACCCTCGCGAACAGCCCGACGCGTAATAGTAAGGGTAGCGGGAGCATCAGGCCGCGGAAGGAGGAGGAGGGGGAGGAGCAGGAGGAGGAGGAAGAGCAGGACGAGGAGGAGGACGAGGAGGAGGAGGAGGAGAAGGAGGAGGAGGAGGAGGACGAGGAGGAGGACGAGGAGGAGGAGGAGGAGTAGGACGAGGAGGCGGAGGCGGTGGAGGAGGAGGAGGAGGAGTAGGAGGAGAAGGAGGAGGAGGACAAAGCAGCGTCCATTGCCCTTATGGCTCAGGCCCTTACCGTTCAGAGATTGGTTGCGAGTTGCCGCACATGACTCAATTCGCTTGGCATGGTCCACCGTCGCTCGCCGGAGCTGCGTCGCCGCCGCCGGCTTCGGGCCCACGCCCTGGGCTTCATCGACTACGGCGATGACTTGGTTCCCGTGCAGGTGCCCAGTTGGTTGGCATCAAGGGCGATGGCGATTAGTCGGTCTCTCGAGCTTCACGATCTACAACCGCGTGGCTAGCCTGCCCGCGCATTTTGCGCGCTGAGCACGCGGTGCTGCAGGGCTCGGGCCTGAGGCTCTCTGTGACGCCCTTCAGGTTCACCGTGCTGTGAATCGTGCAAAGCATGAGTGGCACTGTGTGGGTGCAGCGCGCCACGTTCGCCTCGCCGAACTTCTCCCTCAGCCTGCTGGTGGAGATGGTGCGGCGGGTGACTCTGCGCGGTCGGCGTCCTCATCCTCATCGACTCCATCACTCGGCATTGTGCCCTCGTCGTGAACTCCTGGAGGTTGTTTGATACCCGCTCGCGCTATTCTTCGAGAGCCCCTTTGTGCCGACCGCCTTCCTGGTATATCTGCTTATGTCGGTGCTCGTTCTGTCATGGTGGGCGTCTCGGCATTGATTCCCGTTGCCGAGGACATGGAGAAGGTGCTGGAGGGCGGATGGGCCTCTGGCGTCTGGTCTCTCTCTGGCGGGGTGCCCCCCTCTCCCCCCCGCAGAGTACGGCCCCGAGGGTGAGCAGGTGGCAGCCGCTGTTGCGGTGTCCCGATCGGCCGACGCGGTGGGCGACGAGGACGTTTCTGCTGCTGTTGCTGCTGCTGCTGCTGGGGCCACCATGCTGCAGGCGAGGCTCCTGCTGCTGGCCCGTTGCTGCCGACTGCTGCTGGATCGCGTACTGGGCTTCCGCTTCATCAGTTCGTCGTCGACGATTCCGATGATGTGGACCTTGTGGACGAGTTCGATTTCATCGGCGTCGGCTTCTAATTGTACTCGCATTTCTCCTTCTGGTACGGTTGGATATGTATGAAAATTCCAGTGTTGGGTTCACGGCGCGCTGCGTTCGTCAGGACACGTAATTATTTTCTTGCACGGGGCATGGTTTTCTTGATGCGACCCGATCGTATTGTATGTGGCACCGCTGGCCGACGAGATCGAACGGCGCATTTGGGCTGTGCGTTCGGCATTTGAATTTCTTCTTCACTGTCGCGGCCTCCTTGAAGTTCAAGGTATATGCGTACGGGGTTCTCGTTCGTCGCTGGGGTGCCTCTCTCCGCTCCGTTGTCCTTAGCGTGTTCGTACAGGTCGTGCTGTTCATCGCGCGCTTCCTGACTGAGGCGCCGTCGATGGAAAAAAAGAGGAGGAAGAGGAGGAGGAGGAGGACGAGGAGCTCCGTCGACGACTACGGCAGGCTCCGTCCTGGTACAGGCCAGGCGCAGGCAGTGTGTCTTCGAGCCCTGCGGGCCGACATCGAGGCCGCCGTGGTCCTGTGCTGTGCCCAGACTGCGCTGGTGGCGCTGGGGGCCAGCGCCCTGCCGGCCCTGGGGTGGTTCGATGGCGTGCGCGGCCGGGCGTAGAGGCACGCAGGCGATGGCGAGTGAGCAGGCCGGTATGGTAGTTCGTTTTGGTGTAGCATTGGTGCGCTACCAGTGCGAGGAGGAGGAGAAGGAGGAGGAGGGCCCGCTGAGCATGTTCGCGCATTTCATCAACCATCTGCGCACGCAGAGACAAGTGTCTGCGTCCGACCGACCGACCGACCCTCCCAGGGTAGGGTGCGACCCAATTCAGAGTGATTTGATTCGCTGGCTGGGGCCGCGACTCCGATCCGATAGGGTTCTCTGCTCGGTTCACTGGCAACGGCCAGGGTCCACGGGAGCCAGGCTGGGCGATCCGATTCCGATTCGGTTCCAGACGGTTCGCTGGCGGCCTGATCCGTTTCCGATCCGATCCGATTTCGCCATTTCGATCCAGCTCTGGCCTGCCAGGCCTTGCAGCAAGTTGGGGATCGTGGCGCTGGATGCCTGGCAAGGCTTGTGCTGTTCCAACCTGCTTTAGCCTGGATCACCAGAAATGATTTCGAGCACCAAGAAAGCACCGAAGCTTCTGGGTTTTCGCGCGTCGGGCCCTGGGAGGCGATGCTCGTTCGACGCTCGAAAGTGTATTTCTTGGATGCGGTCCTTACGTGCGATGGGATGCCGGCTGCGGAGCGCCCGCGCGGGGCGGCGGTCGCCCACGCCGCACAACCCGCCGCGCCCTGCCGTGCCCTCGGCCTCTGCTCCGACGCTGATTGGATGACCGAGGAGGCGGAGGAGGAGGAGGAGGAGGCGGAGGAGGACGAGGAGGAGGCGACGGAGCAGGGGGAGGAGGAGGAGGCGGAGGACGAGAAAGAGGCTGCGGAGGCGGAGGAGGAGGCGGAGGCGGAGGAGGAGGAGGAGGAAGCTGCTGCGGAGGAGGAGGAGGAGGAGGAGGCTGCGGAGCTGGAGGAGGAAGACGAGGACGAGGACAAGACGCATCCCGCCAACCGCGGCCGAGGCCCAGAGGGAACTCGTGGAGCTCGCCCCGCCCGCCGCCATCCAGCAGGCGCCGTGGGCCGCCGAACGCCCTGCGCCCGGCGCCCCCCCCGCGGGCGGGCACGGCTCTCTAGGGCGGCGGGTCGGTGCGATCGGTTCGGACGACGACGACGACGGACGACGACGACGACGACGACGACGACGACGACGACGACCGACGACCGACGACGACGACCGACGACGTCGACGACGACCGACGACGACCAGCGACGACGACGACGACCGACGACGACGATGACCGACGACGACGGGCGACGACGATGACTGACGACGACGGGCGACGACGACGGCCGACAACGACCAGCGACGACGACGACGAAGACGACGACGACGACCAGCGGGCGGCGGGTCTGTGCGATCGGTTCGGACGACGACGACGAAGACGACGACGGGCAACGACGACGACGACGAAGACGACGACGACGACCGACGACGACGACCGACGACAACCAGCGACGACGACGACCGACGACGACGATGACCGACGACGACGGGCGACGACGATGGCTCACAACGACCAGCGACGACGACGACGACCGACGACAACGACGACGACGACGACACGACGATGACGACCATCATGACGACGATCGACGACGACGACCGACGACGACGATGACCGACGACGACGGGTGACGACGACGACGATGACCGACAACGACCAGCGACGACGACGATGACGACCGACGACGACGACGACGGACGACGACGATGATGACGACTCTGACGACGACCGACGACGACGACGACCGACGACGACGATGACCGACGACGACCGGCGACGAAGACGATGACGACCGACGACGACGACCGACGATGACAATGACCGACGATGACCGACGACGACGACGATGACGACCGACGACGACGATGACCGACAACGACCAGCGACGACCGACGACGGACCGACGACGACGACAACCGACGACGACGAACGACGACGACGATGACTGACGACGACGGGCGACGACGACGACGATGATGACCGACAACGACCAGCAACGACGACGATGACGACCGACGACGACGACGACGGACGACGACGACGACGACGATTACGACTCTGACGAGGACCGACGACGACGACGACCGACGACAATGATGACCGACGATTATCACGGCGACGACGACGATGACGACCCACGAGGACGACCGACGATGATGATGGCCGGCGTCGACTGGCGACGACGACGATGACCGACGACGACGACGACGACCGACGACAACGACCAACGACGACGATGACGACCGACGACGACGATGACCGACGACGACGGGCGACGACGTCGACCGACGACGACGAGGACCGACAACGACCAGCGACGACGACGATGACGACCGACGACGACGACGACGGACGACGACGACGATTACGACTCTGACGACGACCGACGACCGACGACGACGACGACCGACGACGACATTGACCGACGACGACTTGCGACGACGACGATGACGACCGACGACGACGACGAAGACGTAGGACGACGACGACGATGGCGATGACCGACGACGACGACGATGACAACGACGACGACGACCGACGACGACCATGACCGACGCTGATGGCGACGACGACGATGACCGACGACGACGACGACGGACGATTACGACGAAGACGATGATGACGACCGACGACGACGATGACGGACGACGACGACGACGACGACGCCCGAAAAAGACGATCGCCGCCGGCGTCTGGCGACGAAGACGATGCCGACCGACGACGACGACGACGGACGACGACGGCGACGACCGACGACGACGACTTCGACGACGGACGACCTACGGTGACCGACGACGATCGACGACGACCGACGACCGACGGCGACGACGATGACGACGGACGACGACGGCGACGACCGATGGCGAAGACGATGACGACGGACGACCTTCGACGACCTTCGACGACATTCGACGACCCATGACGATCGACGACGACCGACGCCCGACGACGACGACGACGACGACGGACGACGACGACGACGCCGACGACGACGACGATGACCGACGACGACTGACCACGACTACGATCGACGACGACAGACGATGATCGACGACGGACGACGGACGACGACGGCGACGACGATGACCGACGACGACCGCCGACGACGACCGACGACGACGACGACGACGTCGACGACGACGGACGACGACGACGGACGACGACGACGACGGTGACTGACTACGATTGGCGACGACGACCGACGACGACCGACGACGACGACGACAACAATGACGACCACCGATGACCGACGACGACGACCGATGACCGACGACGACGACGACGGACGACGACGACAACGATTGACGACGACGATGACCGACGACGACCGGCGACGACGACGCTGACGACCGACGACGACGACAACGGTCGACGACGACAACGATGACAACCGACGACTGACGACGACGACGACGACCGACGATGACGATGACCGACGACGACTGGCGTCGACGACGATGACGACCGACGACGACGACGATGACGCACGACGACGACGATGACGACGAGCGACGACGACGACGACCATTACCGACGACGACGGATGACGATCAATGACGACGACGACCGACGACGACGATGATGACGATGGACGACGACGACGACGATCGACGACGCCCGGCGACGACAACGACGGACGACGGACGACGACGACGACGACGACGACGACGGACGACGACGATTCACGACGACCGACAACGACAACGACGGACGACGGACGACGACTTCGACGACGCTGGCGGCCGACGACGCCCGCCGACGACGACCGACGATGACGATGACGACGACGACAGACGACAAGGACGACGACGGAGATGACGACGACGACGACGACGACAACGACGGACGACGACGACGACGACGGTCACAACGACAACGGACGACGATGCCGACGACCGACGACGACGACGATGACCGACAACGACGACGACGAGCAACGACGACGGACGTCGACGACGACGATGGACGACGACGACGACGCCCGACGACGACGACGACCGATGTCCGACCACGACGACGGACGACGACGGACGACGACGACGACGATGACGACGACGCACGACGACGACGACCGACGACGACGACGACCGACGACGACGACCGACGACGACGGACGACGACGACGGTGGCGACGACGATGACCGACAACGGCGAGCGACGACGACGATGACGACCGACGACGTTGACGACGACGTAAGACGACGACGATGATGACGACTCTGACGACGGCCGACAACGACGACGACCGACGACGACGATGACCGACGACGACGGGTGACGACGACGACGATGACCGACAACGACCAGCGACGACGACGATGACGACCGACGACGACGACGACGGACGACGACGATGATGACGACTCTGACGACGACCGACGAGGACGACGACCGACGACGACGATGACCGACGACGACCGGCGACGAAGACGATGACGACCGACGACGACGACGGACGACGACTGATGACCGATTACCGACGAACACGGCCTTCCGAGGCCCTTGCATCCTGTCCTGATCGCGCGTCATTATTCTACAGATCGGCTGTGCCCGGCTCGGGCGCGCGAAGATGCGCGCGCCGACCTGCCGCGCCGCCGCCGCCCAGGGCGCCTCGGGCGCGCCCGCGCTGGAGGACGGCGAGGACGCCGGGGCGCTCCTCTTCAGCGGGCCCGCGCGGGTGCGGGCGTGGGCGTGGCGGAAGCGAGCATCTCTTCGCCCTTGCTCCCTCGTCCTCCTCCTCCCTCCTCACTCCTCCCTCCTCCCTCCTCCCTCCTCCCTCAGTCGTGTTTGGGCTCAGGCCGAGATTTTGGGTGCAGATCAGTTCTGCGAATCTCGAGAGCTCGCGCGACCAAGGGTGTTGCCCTAGCAATCACGAAGGGCGACCCCGCCTGGCATCGCCGCAGGCGCCGGCAGCGCGCGGCGGCGAGAGTGCTGCTCAGGCTGGGCGCAGCTGCCCGCCTGCTGAAGCAACATCACAGCGCGATGGCGCCGCAGGGCGGACGCCGCGCGGCCAGCGGAGGAGGTGGCAGCCAACGGGGCCAGCACGGTGGCGATGCTACGACCCCGCCGTGGAGCTGCGGAGAATGCCACACCTCCAACTTCGCCACGAGGAAGTCCTGCCGCCAGTGCGGAGGAGAGAGGCAGCAGGAGGCGCCATGGCAGCAGCGCCGCCGTGAGCGCGGGGCCAGCAGAGGAGGCCAACGAGAGGCGAAGCCCAAGGGAGGCCAGCCCTCGCAGGATCAGACCGCGGCGGCCACTGACAAGGAGACGCTCGGCATCCTCCCCATGCTGCCGGAGCAGGCCAAGCTCCACAGCGCATGGGTACCGCCCCCGCAGCAGGCCACGGGCCTGAAGCAGTACCGCGAGTCGCTTAGGAAGGCGCTCGCGGCAGCCGAGGGCAGGGTGCGCGCCATCCGCGGGCTGGTGGCCCCAGACCCCACGAGGCTGCGCAAGGCGGAGCAGGAGTTTGCCGCCATCCACTGCCAGGTGATCCTGTCCAGGGACCCGGCGACGAGGGCCGACAAGCAGGAGGCCTTCGTAAAGAAGGCACGCAGGGCGCTAGAGGGCGCCAAGGACGCAGAGCTGGCCGCGCAGCTCAAGCTGGCGGCCGCTGAGGCCGACACCAAGCAGGCGAAGCAGGACCTTGAGCATGCGCAGGTCTTCCTGGAGCAGATGACGAACATGGCGGACTTCTGCTCGTACCCTGCGCCGCCGCCGCAGCCGCGGGCGCAGGGCAGACGCAGTGCATGGCAGAGGCCACCAGCATCAGGGGATGAGGAGGCCGAGGAGCTCTCGTCCTGCCTCGACGAAGAGAGTGAGCCACGCCGTGCACGCGACCAGTACGGAGATGGCAATGACGAGGACATGCCATCCACGCCGCGGCCGAGGCAAGAAGTGGCGGAGGTTGCGCAGACGCAGCAGCGCGTGGCCTCACTCGAGAAAGGCATGGCGCAGCTGATGGAGCAGATGATGCAGATCAACTCGAACCTCCTGGCCGCCGCCGCACAGGCACCCTCAGCCGCAGCCTCAGCCCAGCAGGCGCAGGCCGCAGCAGCAGCCCCCGCGGCACATGCAGGTGGCAGTGCGATCGCGGCCACCAAGGAGAGGGCCGCTAAGGCAGCAGCAGACAAGCTGGCCCGCGAGCATGAGCGGGCAGCTTCAGAGGCCGAGCGGGACAAGCAGGCGGGCAGGCAGCAGACCAGGCTGCAGCTTCGACCCGCAGCAGCAGAGGCGGCGGCCAAGAAAGAAGTAGGGAGAGAAGAGCGTTCACGCTCACCCGAGGCCAGGCAGCCTGCTGGCCCAGGGCTAGCGGACAGGATGCCAGGAGGTTCTCCCGCCTCCCCAGCTGCAGCGTCCTCGACAGCGTCGATGGCCAGTCCGGCCAGCGCTGTGGCCAGGCCATCCCAGTGACAAACAAGGGGCCTCGCCGAGGACACCCCGCTCCCAGGTGACAGGGAGGGCGGGGCCCCCAGTGATGTCACCCAGCCAGACCTACAAGGGCGGCAGCCGCGACGCGTGGTGCCGCTGCCAGACTGCGAGCGTGCGCTCAGCATGCTACGGGCAGCCTGGCCCTTCGACCTCACGGCCCTGGACGAGGGCGTGCTGGGTCCCTCTCTCCACAGCTCCACCAAGGCGCTCCTGGCGGATTGCTGTGAGGATGCTTTTGCGGCGGTACCAGGCCGAAGAGCATCTCCCCTCGGGTACGTCTCCCTGGACATCTACACGGATGGCTCAGGAGGTGCAGACAAGGGCCACATGCCAGGCCCCCCGTCGTGGGCCTTCACGGTGATCGGGACAGACGCGCTGGGGCGCATGTCCAACATCGGCTACCTGGGCCAAGCGATGCCGGACCTCGCGGACAAGTTTGCACAGCCCTCCGTGGCAGCAGAAGTCTGTGCAGCAGCGGCCGCCGCCATGTGGGTTCTCCAGCTGCACCAGGCAGACCCCTCGGTCCACCTCATGGACACCCCCATGCCGCACATCACCTTCCACTCGGACTGCCTCTACGTGCTGGATATCGCGGCAGGAGGGGCCTCCCTCGCCACGTACGCCCCGTTCTCCACGGTGTTGGACGGGATGCACAAGCTCCTGCAGGCTGTCACCCCCTTCAGCTGGAAGCATGTCCCGGCGCACGAAGGCAACGGATGGAACGAGTTGGCAGACACGATTGCCACGCTAGCCAGAGGAGGAGAGATCGAGACAGCGCTCGACGGCAGCTTCTGGGAGCGTGTACTGGACATGGCGCAGGAGGCGCCGTGGCTTTGGCTTGCAGCTGCACCAGCGCATCTCCAGGCCCAGTACCCCACCCCAGGGGCTGAAGTTCCCCAGCTGGCTCCGCCGTGCCGCGGGCTGGCAGACATCCTGCACGACCGCCTGGAGGGCACTGGCACGGGAGACGCCCAGCAGCTGCAGCAGGAGGTGAAGCTAAGGGTAGCAGTCGCCAATGTCCTCACGCTCGACCCGAGCAAAGCCAGGACCGGAGGCGGCAAGGCCTTCTCAGGAGTGCTGCTCCCAGGGCGTGTCCACATGCTCTCGGGCCAGTTCGGGCTTTTCAAGTACCACCTCGTCGGCACGTTGGAGACGAGAGTGCCCAAGTCCTCGGTGCTGAAGGTAGGCGAGTACCAGATCTTCCACGCGGCGGCGAACTCCAAGGGACAGTACGGCGTTTCGCTCTGGGTCAACCTGAGGCTGCGCCACCAGGGCGCCCCGACCCTCGAGGCCAAGCACATCGCAGTCCTGCGTCAGGACCCACGCAGGATGCTCGTCAGCATTCGCTCCAGCCTGCTCAACATCGATGTGCTGGTGGCCCATGCGCCCCACAGCAGGACGGCGAAGGAGCTACGAGATCGCTGGTGGCAGCAGACCCACCAGATCCTCAAGCAGCATCGCCCTGAGGGCAAGGACAACCTGATCTGCCTGATGGATGCGAACGCCAGGGTCGGCCAGCACACCACGGCAGAAATCGGCAACCACGGTGCTGCCCAGGAGAACGATGCAGGTGCTGCGCTGAGGCACTTTGCGGCCAAGGTGCCCGTGTGCTTGCCAAGCACCATGCGCCCGTCCAGAGGAGGGCACCACGTGACCTGGCGCTGCCCGGGGCGCGAAGGCCAGCGAGGACACGAGCACAGGCTCGACTACGTGGGCATCTCGCCAGGCCTCCTCCAGTACGTGAAAGACCAGGGAGTCAACCACGACATCGAGCTTGCCATCTCGCAGCAGGACCACTCCCTCGTGGACTTGCTGCTTGAGCTTCCACCGACCGAAGCAGCGCCTCACCCTCCGACTTGGAAAGGAGTCGTTGTTGACAAGGCCAAGTTCGGAGTTCCCGAATGCAGGAAGCAGTTTGAGGAGATGATGGACACCATCCCGGCCTTCCCCCTGGACCTACATCCCAACGACCACGCCGACCAGCTGGACAGGGCAGTCAGGAACGCCGCGGAGAAGGCATTTCCGAAGGACCCAGTGAGGTCCAAGCCTGCGTGGACGTCAACCAAGTCACGGGATCTCTGCTCGCTGAGGTGCAAGGGCACCAAGAACGCCAGCAAAGTCCAGTCCAGGTGCCAGGTCTTCATGGTCAGGGTGCTGTTCGCAGCGTGGGCGCTGATGCCCAAAGGGGGCCTCTGGCTCAACCTACGCACGAGGGAGCTTGACTGCTCGGTCCGCCTTGGCCCTACCTGTGCCAGAGTGATGCCGGAGCTGGCTCCTGTCCTTCAAGGATACCGTGAGTTGCTGGACGGCACGGCGCTGCTCATGGCCAAGCAGTTCCCGCGGCCACAGAAGTACACTCGCGTGCACAGGCTCCCAGAGAAGCATGGAGGCAGGGTACAATTTCACCAGCAGGCGACCAGCAGGACTGGCCCTACCACGACAAATTCCCAGGAGGATCTAGGCACAGGGCAAGGGAATGGCACTCATGAAGCAGCGCAAGGCGCCGGTCAACATGCACATGAGATGAGCCCCCGCGACGCCAGGAAGAACGACCACTCCTCCTCCAGTCCCATGCTCCGCCCTTGGCGGGACACGATGAACGGGTTCCACGACCCGTTCGAGGACCTGGAGGATGAGGAGGAGGCCCGGCATACCCACATCCAGGGGCAGTGCTCCCCTGAAGGTGGCGTACACCCCGCTGGGCAAGATGCCGCTGGGCTCTTGGCGCCCAGGGAGCCGCGGCGGAGTCGCGCGGCCAGCGCGAGCTCAGAAGCAGGGGGCACGGCCACAGATGGCGCCGCAGTGCCAGTATGCGCAGCGGACCCAGCTGGAGAGGAGGTGCAGCAGGAGGAGTCGAGCAGACCGACGTTACGAGCTTGCTCGACGGCATCGGCGGCGTCGACGGCGACAGGCTCAGGGAGCAGAGCGTCCTCTCCCACCTCAGGTCCTGGGAGCGGCGCCAACACACCAAGTGGTCCCTGCAGGGTGGCCACCTGGGCTTCAAGGGCGGCAACGGCCTCGGCTGCAACTCCAGCATCCCGCGGGGCCTCGAGCTCGGCTACGGTTACGGCCGCACCTTCTAGGGCCACCTGGACCCTGAGTTCAGCAATAGCCTCGGCGGCCTCTTCAGCATACCGCAGTGATTCGGGAGCGGCAATGGCTGCGGCCGCAGCATCAGCCTCATTCAGTGCCTCGAGTTCGGCAGCAGCAGAA